AACTCGCTCAGTCGTCTGCACCAGCGCTGATACGCGCGCATGTGACCAGGGTCACACCACGGGCCACTATTTCTCTGATTTTAAAAATGAAAAGCAAAAGACAACATAGAGTGAAAATTAGATCCAAGGTAGTTTCTTTCATATATTGAGAATAATGACAACCCCAGTTATAATATATTATACATGGAGGACTTAGCAACGTCACCCAGAGCACCCCACTTCAGTCATCCTTTAGGTTCAAGCTTTAAAGAGAACGTAAGAAAGGAGGGAGGGAGGCAGGGAGAGAGGCAATAAGCAAGACTGGCTGTTGCCTCAAGTGAAGGAACAACTTTTCTGGTACATATGACAGAGATACAGTTGGCCGTCGAGGCTACTGTGTAGATCTATAAGCAGTCCTGGGTAATGGTTAAGAGCTTCAAGTGGCAGAGGCAGCTGGGGCTCACTGACACTTTGAGTTGGCTTTGCCAATTATTAACTGTGAGGCCTTGAACAACTCAATCTGTCTGTGAGGAATCGGAAGAAACTGTAAAGTGAGAATAACTGTATGTGCCTCAGAGGGTGGCTGTGAGGACTCCTGCGTGTCCAGGACATAGTAAGCAATTTCACTACAAAGAAGACATTCAACAGTACCAACTTTGAAAATGTTCGGCAGTCCACCTTTGAATATTCAAAACATGTCACCTTTTGGCCAAAGGCCAACAGCAGTTTAGTAATCAGACTTGAAGACAAAATAAACAAAAGCAGACAGTCAAGTCACATATTCCCAATTTTCTGGGTAATTCAAGACTGACACCTTGACTTCTTCATGCAGAGGAACTCACTGAAACAGGCTTCTAGGAGACAGCTGGAATTGCTCAGCGCAAGAAATAGTACCGGGCTAGACGTGAGGCCCCTGGATCTCTAGTCCTGACACAGCCCCACGTGTGTGACCACCGGCCATTTACTTAACCTTTTTTGGCTTCCGGCCTGGGCGGGAGGGGCTGCAGAGGTTCCGCGGGCTGCAGTGCGGCCATTCAGTGTCGAGGGCGCTCTGCTGTGGGCTGTGACACGAAGGGCAAGAGCTGGGGTTCCTTTTTTTGTGTGTGCAAGAAGCAGTGGAACGAGCCCTGCTGTCATAACGTGGCAAGGAGGGCTGGGGTTTAGGGTTCACGGTGCCGTAGCAGGCGGTGTCAGCCCCGGGGCTGCAGCGACAGGCTTGGACGCAGACTGAAGTCCGGGTGATGCGAGGCTTGCAGAGCATTCTGGAAGGAAACCTCACTTTTATTCCAGTTTCACCACTTCCCCTCCCCATTTAGATGCAAAGTCATTCACAGTCTTATAGCAATTCCTTCACTTTGTGCTAGTTGCCTTCATGATGTTACACAAAGTCACAAATTATTTTACTATTTGAATTATTTTCTGTTCACTGTTAGTTATCCATTTCCACCAGAGAACCACTGAGGTCAGAGGAGTGTGAAGTGGGTGTCCCCGTGGCATGGGACAAAGAATCACTGAGCAGGACATTTCTTTGAAGTCTCGTACTTTATCTTAAAAAATAAGGCTTTTGGCATTTTGCTCCATGACATATCTGTTCATTTTATTGCCAAAGTAATATTCTATCATCCAAAAGACAAAGAAACAGAATAAAACTGTTTCAAATTCCCATGCTCTATGTATTCTATTGCTTCTGTAATGTCTTATTACCCCAGGGAAATCTCAACTGCTGTTGCACTGGTACTTGTTTAATATGTTTTTGAAATTAGTATTAACTTCCCACTATGTAACGGGGCAATTACTATGTTCAGTATCTGTTACCAGACTGTCACACTTCTACCTGCTTAAATATTTGCCACCTTTTAGAGAAGAACCTTGTGGCTTGAAAAAGTCTTTTGGTCCAACCAAGAATCTTAGAATATATAGTGAAAACCATAGTGTAAGCACCGTCATATAACTCATAGTGGTTTTACTTTTTTTAAACTGTTAGAAATTAGTGGAATCAATCAGAGCTCAGAGGACTTAGAGAACATCTAGTCCAGATAATATTAATCTTGGGGCTTTATGGATAAGTTTCAAGGGTTTTGAATCCCCTGAAATTATATGCAAAATTGTGGATGTACGTTTTTGGAAAAGAATTGATAAAATTTATTTATGTTTTTAAAGAGATTAGTGCTTTGTTAAGGTTCAAATGCACTAATTCAGTTTTACGTTATAAATGATGATATATGTCCAGAAAAGGGCCTTTTTCAAGATGACACAGCTAAGTAACAGTAAAGCCATTACTGCTGCTGTTTTTGTTTCCTTGGCCTTGAACATTCTCATTAACAGAGAAGACAGAAGTAGCATTTCATTTCATTCGTGGTCACGGCAGTAGTTTCATAACTTGCTCAGGTTGTGGATTTTCATTGTCTGAAGAGAAACATATAATACAGAATTATACACCCGTTCAGCTAGATTTAACTGAGCATACTTCCTGTAAATCCTCTTTCCAAACACAGGATGTAAAAAGCCATTTAATATCATTTTCTGAAAACCGTATTTGCCAAGAAACATCCAATTGTTAAGTTCATTAATCAACACTAAAGCATGTTGATATTTTTTTTTGTAGTTTTGCTTTAAATTATTTATTGAAAAGCATTTCGCACATAGGCCGTGCATTGATTTACTCATTCATTCAACAAATATTTCTTAAGTGCCTAGCTTTGTTTGCTTTGCTAAAGAAGAAACAGCTAGATTTTTTTGTTTGTTTGTTTTTGAGAAGTGGGGAAGGTTGTGGTAAGGTTAAGAGCAGGATACAGTGGGGGAAAAAATCAGTCCTGTTATGAATATCAGGAGAGTCTAACATTCCTGCTCCTTTCCCAATTTGATAGGGAGCAACTCTGTTGAATTCTAGGACTAAGGGGCTGGATGTGGTTGTATCCCCAGAAATTTTGTTTTCTTTCTATTTTCCAGAACTAAGGGAAGCAGAAATAGCTTCCCTTGGACACTGTCCTATAGTCTCCCCTGATATAAAGTTGCTTCACCTGCTTCTAGGGAGGTGAAGGTGAAATAAGCAAAATTTGCATTGGGGTTTTAGAGAGCAAGACTGTTTGTGAGCCCTTCCTTGTCACTGTCATCTACGAACCCCCTGTGTGCCCATCTTCATCCTGAAGCTTGTTCACAGTCCTCTGTCCCCCAGCTCTTGCCGTCTCCCTGGCTGGTTTCAGCGTGATGCACTGGCCTCTCCTCCATCAGCCTTCTTACCCTCTTATCAGTGTTCAGCATTTCCTGTCCAGCTACAGCCTCAACTATCAACCTATTCATATCCACAATTCTGATTTTTTTTCTACAAAACAAAGTTGGTCCTAGAATGAGAGAAGGTTTTAAAGTTTTTATGGAAAGAGAATCCTTAACTGATACATTTTATTAGATGTCTAAGCTGCTATAGTAGATAAGAACTGTGGTTAACCCGATATAATAACTGAAAACAACAGTGGCTTAAACAAGGCATTTATTAAGTAACAGGAGCCTGCGGGCAGGCCGGGCTAGTGCTGGGAGAAGGAGTCACATTCATCAGGGAACTGGGCTAGTTCTTTCTGATCCAGTACGTATTCTTGTGCGTGACTTCCTCCTTGATGTCGTTCATGGTCCAAGACAGCGACAGAGTTATTTTGGCTCTTGCCATCTTGTCTGTAATCTCAGCACCAGGCCTAGGGAAAGGGTGAAGGACAAAAATGCCCCTTTCCTGCTGACAAACACCTTTTTCTTACATGACTTTCCTCAATCACCTTAAAACAGTTCTGTTTACATCTTATTGGCCCGACTAGTCACCTGGCCACGTCTATCTAGGATCTGTAGTCTTTGAGGTTGGGCCTGTTGCTGCGCAGATAAATTCAAAGTTGGCTGAATTAGCGTTGGTGATATAGCAGAGCTCCTGTTCTAGTGGATTTCCACATTGTCAAAAGATACTTTATTGATCAGCAGCTGTGGCAGACATTGCCAGGTGCTGCACCAATGCTAATTGCTCTGCCTTGCAGACAGTAGGGGCTCAGGAAATAAAGTGAAGGATTGGATGATCTGAATGATTTGAATTAATCATGTTTACTATTCATGATGTTACAGGTAAATATAAAATGCACACGGTGCTTGAATAATGGAACAGTTAGTTATTAACAAGCTGCAGGGAAATTGCCAAACCTCAAGTGCCCCTATTTAGACTCAAAAGAAAATTCGTGTTCTTAAATTTTGATACTTTGTGTAGCCTTTCTACTTAAAGTGGTGGGAGCAGGCTAGAACTGCAGAATCTGAGGCCCCACTCCAAATCTGTAGAATTAGAAGCTACATTTGTTTTTTTCTGTTGTTGGCTGGTGCAGGGATCGAACCCTGGACTTGTTATCAGCACCACGCTCTAACGAACTGAGCTAACGGGCCAGCATAGAACCTACATTTTAAACAGCTTGCCAAGGTAATTTGTATGCATATTAATGTTTGGAAAGCACTGCTTTAAAATTTTGTCCTGTACCCACATTAATCTATCACTTCTTTCCTGCCTCTTGATTTTGCAGCTGGTTCAGATAATGATTTCAACCTGTAGGGGATTAAAAAAAACAAAAAGGCCACGAGGTGCTGGTTCCAATAGTTATGTGCTAAGAATAACTGAGGAGGGAAAGAACAAATTGTGGTACTTGTGTTAAGGTTGTCATTATTTAAAGTGACTCTCTTACCTATTACGGTAGGGGGTGCTGTAGAGACGTCTGTGTCCATAATCAACCAACACACCCTCTCCTTCTGCCCCCCTCTCTGCCAGGTTCTGCTGGCTTGCTCAGGGCTGACAGTTGGGGGAGGGGGCTGGCAGCTGGGAGGGGGAAAAGTTTACCAAAGTTCCCCCAGGTGACCCCAATGCTCCCCCGCCCCCACCACCTTAGCTCCACTGTCAGGAAAGTAAAGCAGTTAATTGCCTAGCAGGAATTGCCACTAAATGTAATTACTCTGCCTCGGAGGTATAGTTGTGAGAGGTATTTGTCAGGGTTGAGATGTCTTAGCCCACCAGCTGGAATTTTTGCTGCAGGAATAAACCTGGATTCTGGTTTCCTTCTGTGAAGTTTGTGGATAAATGGCCAGACAGGAGAGTTTTGCAGGTTTTGGCATAGTTCAACATAATAACTATTACTGCTGCTGGCAAAGGTGAGCGGATTTTTTCCTCCTTTGAATGAAAATGAAGCCTGTTACTGTTCTATTTGTTACAAATTTTTGGCAACTAACAAACTGTCGCTTTGAACATAGGTGTTTTTAAAAAGTTAAAGCAGAGATCATCCTTACTTGAAACTTACTCTAAAGAGGAAAGAATCTTGGGGTTTGTGAAAGATTCTTTGTTGGTTGGTGGTGGCTGTCATTCCTGTCCTCTCTCCTCCACTATTAGAGTGAAGACAGAGCTCCAGCCCCGCCATTGTGACCACTGTGGCAACTGCTGTGACCAACAGCACAGCTCTTACCCTCTTTCTGGTTATTGCTATGGTTGTGCTGTGGATGGAGAAGGACACGGGTTGATTTCTGCACATGAGACCCCTCAACACACAGCTGAAACTTCGATTATGCCTGAGGTATCCCCTAATGAAACCAATCTTGTGTCATCTGTGTGCCCAATAGTGTAAACGTCATTTTCCTGTTTTTGCACATCCATGTCCTGCCATTCAAATTCCTACAGCCGTGGCATTTGCTCCCTGTTTTAATACCGTAAAGCTGATGACCTAAGAGAAAAATATTAAAAGCTTTATTGAAGAATAATTGATATACAAAAGAAAAAATCTGCACATGTTTAATGTATGCAGTTTGAGTTTAGACATATGCATAAATGAAAACATTTTGACTTGCAAATGATTTAAGTCCTTACTCTCTCCGAGAAACAATAGGCTGATGAAGTCTTTGATAAAATTCATGCTACTGAATTTTAAATATCATAAAATAGGTTTTATTCTTTAACACAAACTAAGAAGGGGGTAGTTTCTTGGTTTTGTTTTGCTATAGCAGTGGACATAAACACACTCTAAAAGTATATTTTAATACTGTCTTTACTAAAGTAACATTTCTAAAACCACATGAGGACGTACACTTCTATATATATATATATATATATAT